TGAGATTTTCACGCAGACAGTTTCGTAACTTCGAGGCTGAAACAACAAGAGGGCTAAAACTTTGTGAGCATAACCGATGGCGGTGTTTGACCAAGTGGACGTAAAAACGACTTTCACGTCCTTTCATGTGTTACGCATGTCTCACGTACACACAAATGAAATTTGACGTAACTCCGCGACCGGAGCTGGAGGGCTGAAATATTTAAGCAAGGATTGGGAGTCACTGTAATGATTTCTGGCATTTATGGTGGCCAGTCTGAATCCCTTTAGCTGGAAGCATCTACTTGAAGAAACAGTACCATTAGCAACAAAAACTTGCGGGGAACTACGCAAAAAACGCATCCTTGCATCGGCAATCGGTACGCTGGCCATTTATTATGCGTTTTGTGCTGCGCAACAGCTGCACAAAACACATTGTCACGGGATTGTCTGTGTGTGTTTTTGTGTGTATGTGTGTGTCCGCAGCAACTCGTCCGCGACTTTCGACTCGGGAACCACAAAAGGTAGGAAGCTAAAAATTTGGGGGAATGTTCTCCACCCGCGTTTGACCCCGCAAATTTAAATTCAGTTTTTCCTTGCTTGCTGGCAACACGTAAGGCCCCATAAAAGTTTTGAAGGGTAGAACTATCACGGGAACTACGAAGGCTAGAAGGCTGGAATTCCAGGGTTTTGGCACCCTGCCGACCTTGCAAATTTAAATTCAGCGTTTTCGCGCTATCGGATATCATTTACGCCCCGTGAAAGTTTCGGTGGGAAAAATTATTATCTCAGCAACCATGAAAATTTGAAATCTGAAATTTTAGGGCGATGTCCCCTATCAGCGTAGGACCCCCGCAGATTTGGATTCAGCCCTCACGCACTCCTGGGTACCATGTACGGCCCCGTGAGAGTTTTGGTAGAGAAATCATCTCGTTAACTGCAGAAGCTAGAAAGCTAAAAATTTTAGCGTGGCATTCCCTGCACGCGTACAACTCCGCAAATTTTCAACGCTCCCATGAAAGTTTTGGCGTGAAAAATCATTGTCTTGGGAGCCAGAAGAGCCGGGGAGAAGGGGTGAAGGAGAGAAGAGGGGGCTGAAAATAAGCAGGGCTTCACAAACTCGAATTCATTTCCTAATTATACCGAGTTTTCACATACGGCCACGTGAAACTTTTGTCTCGAAGATCACTCAAAAGCTAGAAAATTAGGAGATTGAAATTTTGGAAGGTATTTACCCTTCGAGGTTTCATATTCAGCTTTCACGTACCGATGCATGAAATTTTTAACTATTTTTCAACATTTCAACTATTTTTGCGCAGACCAAAGTGCAAAGCACTGAAAATTATTAACAGGTAATCGTTCGGTGGGCAGAATTGCACAAAACGCATGATCGCACCGGCTATTCTGGTGCGCTCTGCTATTTATTTTCTCTGAGCAAGGTTCTGGATGTCGCATTCA